CTTTTATATACTAATAATCATTAAAAATAAACGCTAATGAAAGTAAATAATACAAGTAAGAAAATTAATATTTTTCGACACATTTTTATCACTTGCTTCAAATTGGGCTACCGATATTATCTAATAACATGATTTTATTAATAAGAGTAATATATAATATGTCCCCATGAGGTAACTTATGATACTTCTGCGTTGCTCAATTAATTTACAAAGGTAGTTAGATCTAGTTTTTATAACTATATTAGTAAATTTCAATGTGTGCTCAGGATTTTTAAATTATAATAACGATGTAAGCATTTTTATATGGTGAATTTTATGTAATTTTTAACTAAGGTTTCCAAAATCTAAATTGCAATACTGGCTTTTATTTTGAAATTTGAAGTGACTTAATTTTTTTTAGAAAAGGAGAAATAATACTTGACGATGATTAATTGGTAAAATTTTAATTGAAGGGATTTTCGTTTGAAAAAATCTGTTATTTTAAGTATTATTTTAATTTCAATTTTATAAACAAACTGTTTTAAAACTATAGATGTTATATATTATAGTCATTATTTTAGACTGATTTTTTCACTATTTTTAATTTAATTTCTTAAATCTTATTTTTTAAGTCGTATGTATCAAAAATATGTAATAGATGAAGATTGGTCTTTTAGACATTATCCTTGGTTAATTGCTCCAATTGAAAGAAAAGAAAAATCAGTAGAAGATAATGCTAGTGATAATATTAGTGAGGAAAATGAGCACTTAAATGGTTCGTTTTGAATATGTTTTAATCAAGTCCCCTTCTTCTTTTTTATTAAGAAAAATTACAATCTATACAAAGGTGTAATATCAGTAAATATTATAAAAATTTTATTTATTTTATCCTTATAAGCATTTTTTGATGAACTGAGGGAAATTATAATTGATTCGTTACTTTCCCAGATCGATTCAATAATACTATTGAATTTATATAATATATGAAAAGCACATGTTTTATTAAACACAACAAAATATTAATAAGTTTCAAAAACATCATTGATTTTAAAATTTTAATTTATTGTAATAACATTTTGGAGATAAAATAAATATGAAAAGTATTTGATATTATACTGATTTATCGGTTAATTGATTTTTGAAGTCGAGAAAATTATACCTAAATAACAAATAAATTATGGAATACTCATGGTTTTTCTAAAGACGTGTGCATGTTGATCTTAATACGGTAAAGTATGTAAGAACATTACGGTACTTGACAAATTTATGGAATTTTCCTACTTAATTAAATACCAATAAACAATGTTCCATTATTTTACTGTTGGATATTAAAAAATCATTTTGCTTTTTTTTTTATATGTTACTTATAATTTTGATTTAACCCTAAAAGTAAAACTTTGACAAAAATAACAATTAGTTTAATCATAAAATATACAATAACAGAGTGAAATCAATATATTGTAATGTGTTGTTGTTATTAAATTTTTTATTTTGTTTGAGTAAGTTCAATGCTGCATAATATACTTGATTTCATTACTATATAGGAATACTGTATTTGAAATTCATAATCGAGAGGGAAGTTATTTTGTATGATATTGGTGCCATAGTTAAGGCGATATTGTTATAAATTCGTTTTTAGATTAGCAAAATAAGACATTAATTGTCATTTTCATGAATTATTTTATGACTAAGTTTTATTCCATACAGTCATGTATGTACAGGGTGATCGCTATAGAGAATCACTCTATATAGAGGCAATAATGTTCAAGTTTAAAATATTCATAATATGAAAATTTTCAATATACGAACTCACTTTTTGTCACTTTTCACGAGATCAAAAATAAAATTTACTTTTGAAACATATAGTGGCGTAGTCTGGAAGTCAAGGGAGTTATGCCTTCTCTCCCATTGACAGCAAACTTCCTAAAATGACGTAATGAGGANGAAACATATATATAGTGGCGTAGTCTGGAAGTCAAGGGAGTTATGCCTTCTCTCCCATTGACAGCAAACTTCCTAAAATGACGTAATGAGGAAAAAAACGACTAAAATATGGATTTAGTAGACTTTTTTTTTTCAAGACCCGTTCCATCGTGAAATTCTGGCTACACCAGTGTCTTATGTTTATTAACTATTCAAGTAGCTTAATTCCGATTGAAGCCAAATTCTCAATATTTTGATGAAAGTTATTATAAAAACAGTAAAACCTTAATTCAAATACCTCATAATTGCAAAATCGGAATTCTTGAGTTATTTTTTTATTAAATATTATGTCTTATTCTTAATTATGTCGCATAGAAATATTTATTTCTTCAATAAGTAATTTGTTTGAGGTGAATTATAACACATTTGCTTAAAAGTTTTTTGTTATATTTAAATTATGTTGATTTTTTGAAATTGGAATATTAATTAAATTTAGATTTAAAATACTTTTATACTTATCATACACTTTATCTAATGAAAAAACATTTTAGCTCTTAAGTCTGGTAAAATACATATATCTAGTTAAAATATATTCATCAAGATTTAAAGAAAAACGAGATCGTTTCAATTCTTATTCTTCGTGTTCATTCACTATCAGATCAATTTTTGATAAATAATAATTTTGTGATAAAATTGAAAAATTACGAGAAATTTGTTCTATATCTAAATCAATCATTATAACATATATAATATTCTAAGAATAAATAAATTATAAATAAAAATACATACATATATTAAATTGGAAAAAATAAGTACGATTTGAAAAAAAATATTCTAAACAGGAACAAGGTCGTGGATAGGAGTTTTCAAGTGTTCCGGGCCCTCCGAAATTTTTAAAATACATATAAATATAATGTATATAAACCCCACCAAACCTAATCCAATCCAATATATTTTGAACCCCTTACGAAAAAATATTCTGAATATAACTCTGAATTTTTTTTTTTAAGAAGAATATGTTATCATCTTCTGTTCATATTTATTATGATCAAAAAAATAGAAAATAGTATAATTGATTTGCAATAATTTATATTTATTAACCATCAATCAAAATTTACATTTATTTAAATTTCTAATCTAAGCTTTATATTAAACGTGTTTGATATGAGTATTTTTATTTTTATTTTTCGTGTTTATTTTGTAAAAACTGCGATCTACTGTTGTTATCTTATGAATGTAAAAGGTGTACATATGAAGATATTTTTTAATTCATTGTTTTACTAATGCACCTATTGTTTTAGTAAATTTAAAACCATAGTTGTTTAGATTAAATTGATTTTTGTCTACATAAATTGCAAATTAATATTAATATTGGGTTACTGTATTAATAGAATAATTTGTATTATAACTAGTATTTATGATATGGTTTAGTAAATATAATATAATATAATACAAAGTCTCGAGTATTGGAAAAAATAACATGACAAAATGCAGAAAAAGGATAAATTATCCCAGATCGGTTGATAGAAGAATTTTATGATTTATACAATTAATTTGTACATAAAACTAAATAAAGGTTCTTAAACGTTTTATAATTTTCAAGCATGCTAAGATAGAATTAACTTTGTTAAAGTTCTGTGACGAAAATGAATCATTTTTTTTAATACAAGATTATATAGACTAAAAGTTATTCAATTTTACTTTACTTAAAGCCTGTTTTGAATAAGTTGAGAATTAGCAATATTCAGATTCAATAAGCTTAATTAAATATTCGTTATGCTTGTACTTTTTTCCCAGATTATCCATTAACAAGGTAAACTAAATATATTGAAATTTATAAATTGTATAACGAGGAATATAATATACCATACATGCATTTATAGGTGCCTTTAAAACAACAACGTTAGTTTATTTTTTTGTAAATTTCTTTTTTAAGCTTTAAATTTTAATGTTAAAAAAATTGTATTATACTACTATTTATTCTTAAACAAACATGTTTTTTATTTAAAAAATTATTGAACGGAATGTTATAACGTTTATAACACAGAATCCTTTTATTATTGTATGTATTAAACATTATATAATTCAATAAACGTTTAAATAGAAGATTTTTCATCTCTTAAAATATTTAAAAAAAATCTTGGTAATTTTGTTAAATGTTATACATTTTAACAAATTTATAGCAATTCTTTATGACAATTAAATAAAATTCTACTGAGAAAGTAAACATTTCTTAAGCATCACGTTTATTATTTTGGTCTCTAGTTCATAAATAATTTTTATTGTTTTTATTGTCATATTTTATTTAACACATTGTCAACATGTAAAGTAAATAGATTTATTATTGTTTTCCAGTTTGCTTCAATGAAAATTAAATATAATAAAGATTTGAATTTTTAATTTATTATTTGATAAATGTCCCTTTTTTCTCTCGTGAAAAATATTTAGATACATTTTGTATGAAATATTGATTTATGTATTGTGTTCTCACCTTGAAAGTGTAAAATGTGTTATGATATACATAATAATATGCATTAGAAAATTGAATACTTACGGTTGTACAATCAACGGCATAAGTATAGCAAATGGTTGACACGCGGTCACTTTTATGTTAGAGAAAAGTTATGTTGAGGCCATCTGGGGAAACCCAAAAGCGTCGTGCGCGCATTTCCAGCGAATGTCTTTCGATCCCATCCAAAGCGTGAGCGGGGGAGGTGCTTGAACATTAGCACGATGACTATTCGCGTAGTCAACGCGGCAGTCGGTTGTGGTCTGTTGCGCCAACATCTACACACATTTCAATGAAAGGAGCAACGGAGTATAACTTTTTTTGAAAATAAAAAAAATTATCGTCCCGTTGAACAACGCGTACATCATGTATTTAATGAATGGATCATAAAATGAGCGTAAAGTCCACCGACTAGTGTTGTGTCGGTCGTAAAACCTTTTGCGTCCTGTTCACCCCCTCCTACGGCGCCGACGGCCGTTATAGGTCTCTCCACAGGTCGCTGCCGGATCTTCAACCGGGTGGCAAAGAAGAGGGCGTGCGCGCTCGACGGTACGGCCCTGGGGTCTCTCTCTCTCTAGAGTCGTAGCAGCCGCCGTCGCTCATCATTTCCCGGACCACCTGTTCGATCGGTCCGACGTTTCCGGGTGTGATTTTTATGCGCTCCCACAGTTTACCGTAGTCGTTTACCGCCGCCGTCGTAGTAATAACTACCGCGAGTCCGTTCAAGTATTTTAGTATTCGTAGATGAAAAAAAATCCCTCGTTAAATTCTCGAGTGAATTTAATTTTGCCATAAGTAATACTTTTGTTATTTTATTTGTCTTTTCGATGTTTAAAAATGACGGACGTCGAGTCCAAGCGATTTTCGAGTGCGCGTAAACCGCTTTGCATTTGTTGTCGCCGATCACAACACCGACGACTATGCTATTGTCAGAAACAACCGGTTGACTAGGACGGAACGGCCTGGTGAGTTTTTTTTAATTAATTTTTAACTAAAATGTGGATAAATATTTAACTGAAATTTTACTATGCATTTTTAAATAAACAAAAAATTATAACGTACAAAATTAAATTGAGGAAATTTCGCGTTAAAATAATAATTCATGTATTTTACATGTTTGAAAAAAAAAAAAAAATCAATCTCTTTAAATAAAAAATGATGAAAAATAGAGTCTAATATAAATTCGATTCTCATTAATTTTATTACTTTTGAGACAATATTTGGTAAAGGTAAACATTTAACTTTATCTGAGCTAAAGATTATTGACATAAAATTTTACTAGAAAAATAATTTGTCAAAATTAAAGGAAATTAACAGTAAATATAAATTAATTATCACATAAAAATATATTAGCCAGAAGTCGAGATTATGAAAAAGAAATAAAATAAAAATATTTTATTTAATATGGATAAGTAAAACAGTTGCTAGGATAAATTTCTTCTCTATATTTTCAGTTTAATTTTCGTTATTAAATCAGACTTTTGGTTTTTCCAACTCTTTAAAATGATCTAGCGTATCTTAGTAAATTTTATCAAAACATTCCAATTATTTTATAAAATTGATCCTCCTTGTTTTCTATTTTATTTTATATGAAATCAGGAGTATAAATTATTATACTTCGAGAATTTGATTTTCGCGTTGAAAAATTCATAGATATTCTAAATAAATGATGATACAGCACAACAGCAGTAATTGTTACAATGCATAACAAACCAACTGTTTGTTAGCTCATTCATTTATAATGTCAGTATGCATAGTTCATTGTTTACTGTTTCAGAGCAGTTTGTCTTGTGTTTACCAGCAAATATTTAATTATTAAGGCTTTATTTTAAATTAATTACACGACTATCTATAAAAATGATCAAGTTGTCATTTAGTATAAGAGTAGCTAAGTATTTATTTAACTACATAAATGAAAATTCTGACTAGTAGAGCTTGGAACTTAATTCTTTTAAAAATTATTAAATAAGCGTGTACTTATGCGCTTAAAAAAGTAAAAATATGCTCTGATATTTTATTTTTTTGTATAAATATTTAAAAAGCCCATTTATAGTAAAAACTAATGTTTTAAATCATTACTTAAATAATTAAGTAATAAATAAATTTTTAATTTTTAATTAATCATACAAAAAAAAAAAAAAAAACAATACAAAATGAATAAATATAAAAAAAGATATTTTTTTATTTTATAAAATAATAATTGTAAATTGTCTGTATTAAATTGAATTTATATATCTGAAACTCATTAAAAAAATTAGCATGATCACCAATGAAAAAGTATTAAAATTAAATTTCGTCAGGCATAATTTTACTCTGAGCTTTAAAAGTGTTGCATTGGGATACTTAAACGTTTTTTAATGTTTCAAAATTTTAAGATCACCAAGTTCCAGGAGCAATATTTTATATTTTGAAAAGCTACATTTTACACCAGTCAATGCAATTGGCACATATATTAAGTGAGTTATATCGTTATCAGTCTATCATCGGGAAGACCGTCCATTGAAGTTTTTTGCCTTATTAATATTTAAAAATGTAAATTATTGTTTGAAATCCACTATTTTTTTATTCAACACATTTTTTAATTTTTTTAATATTCCAGCACCGGTTTTACTCTTCGAGACATTTAATTTATTTCGAAGATTGCAAATCAAATGCTTCCGATAAAGAAATATTTTAAGTTTCAAATTTGTTAATATTCTTTGGTAAAAACCAAAAATTAATTTAATATATGCTAAAATACTTTCCGTTGCGGGTTCTCAATAAGTTATTGAGCTTTTTTAACAGGTATAGTTCATCTTCAGAATGTAGATTCAGAAATACACTATGTACTATTATATCCTTATAATTTTTGTAGTAGTAGGAAGCAGCCAATAACTAAGTATTCAATCTAGTTAATATTGACTCTGGTATAAATGGTATTTTGGTAAATTATGCTTTATTTTTAAATACTAAAACACGCAAATAAACTTTTAAAAACTCCTTATAACCTTCAAAAAGAGTCTATCAACTTTTTTAAAATTAACATTAAAAATAATATAATACAAGATTATGTAGTAAGAATTTTTAATATTATTAAACATAAGTTTTTAAAATGATAAAATATGCTTTGAAAAATTGTAAAATTGAGCAATATGTTCCAATATCTAAAAATCTCTAAATATATAATGAATTTCTAGTTTATTTAGCATTAAATCAAATAGTCAACATGAAAATTCGTCAACTTCCGAGACTTATTGGTTTATCAATTTAATTAATAATTTTTTAGCTTCGATGCGAAGATGAAAAGGTAATGGTTTTGTGATTGTGTTTTTTTATGTCCGTCCATGAAAATTCTCAGCTCTTACTAAACAAATTGTTATAATTAATGTGTCAAAAGAAAACGATATTAATGTAGTTGAATCTAACACTGTCGAATTAAAAACAATAATACATTTTTAATTAAGTTAGAAGTATAATTGCTGAAAAAAATTATGTTATAAACATAAATAGGTTGAATTTTTTTAAAAGTATTACCATACATTCTATGTAAAATAAAAAATTATCCCTTACCACATAATATTTGAAATTTTTAGATTTAGAGATTTCGTCAGAGATTGCAAGCGCGACCTCTGCGATCTCATAATTATGCTACTGGCTTAAATTATAAAGTATTATAATAAAAACCTAAAAGCTAAAAAAAAATGTTTTATAATAAAAGGAAATGAGAATATACGTTAAACTAATTGGATTTTTTATAGCATTTTATATATTTTATTTGCTTCGTATGTAATAGGAGGGTAGTTTTTTTTTAAATTTAAGTTAATTGCCCATAAAACTCTTTTTCTCTTATCGTCAATTTGATTAAATATTATTTGTAACCATATGGTCTTATAAAATTTATGCTTTTTATCATATAAACATATCTAAGTAACATAAATTTGAAATAGAAAATAATTATTATGTGATAGTGGTGGGAAAATTGATTTTTTTCTAGGGAAATATTGTAGTTTTTAAATGCAACGTGTTTACTGAATACTAAGTATCGCAAATGATACATACGTTTACTCTAAAAATTAATGAACAATGAATCACAGCACGAAAAAAAAAAAAGTTTTATATTAAACACAAAACTGAATAAAAATGTATCATAATATTTCCATCTGAACGCAAAACTGAATATTTAATGGCCATTAAAATGAACCGGTAAAGGATTATGTATTATCATTTGTGCTATTATTAGAATGGGTTATAATACAGTGTTTATGAAATATTATGTTGATCAATCAATTCTACTGAAATTTATAAAAAAAGCTTCCAGTTGAATTATTTATGACAATTATATTTAATTTAATGTTTTCTCTTTTCCACCATATTCTTTTTTAAAATATATTGCGTCATTATTAAAATAGATAAAAAGAGAATTTTTATTTATTGCAAAAATAAGATAATTTTTTTTGTGGTGTGATAAGTTTGAAAAAACTATTTAAAAACTTTCTTCGATATACAATCGCGGCCTTTACTACCGCAAAGCAGTTATATTATGGCGGTTTGTTATATTTTACAGTGAAAATAAAGTACCACATAATATTTTTTTGGCGTATTTGTTAACTCGAAAAAGACGTGACATTGTTGATTTAACTCATGTAGGTACGAGTATATTTTATGTTGCCTTTTGTAGCCTTCATGTTTTAAAAATTCATTTCTTAGCCGAATAAAATTTGGTGATAAATCAGTATCGCTTTATTTTCGGAAATAAAATATGTCGCACAACATATAGAAACAGCAATAACACATAGTATTTATTCAAATAATTAATTAATGTGATGCAAATAATAGAAATATCATATAATTTTTTTTACTTAGACGCGAGTTGGTAGTTTAAAATTTAGAATGCTGAATTTGATGACATTTCGTTGAATACTTTGGCGAGTTATCATTAAAATAACACCGATGGTCCCACTGTATTTTGTTATGATATTTAGTAGGTTCAGAATTTTCATGTTCAAAGTGCGTTAAGTAGGAATGGGCTCAAATGCAGGTTACTGAATATTTCATGAGATACTTGAGTAAAGTTTCTAGTTTTTGTATGTTAAACGGTTCTCTAGGAATATTTGATAGTAAGAGAATATGTTTTCTACAATTTCGATGGCCACCAGAAATCAATTAGATAACTGTCATACTGTTTCAATTTAAAAATTAAAAAATTGTATATTCACTGACAATTTTTAGTGTATTAAAACTTTTGAAGATTAGACAAAGCTATTACATAGAATAAAATGTATTTTGATGACAAAATACATATATATATTTAAATAGTGAGCAAGAACCGTTTGAAAGCGGACATCCGTTGGGAATAAATATATATATATATATATGCAATTCATTTGGGGCGAAGGAAGTTTCAAGACGTTAACAACAGTGGTCGACGTTATCCGGACGGATTTAAATATTATTATATTTTTCCATAGAACCTCCGGCGGATTGGTTAATGTATTGCTTTTTTTTTCACTGGAATGTAGTTTGAAAGTACATTTCAATTGTTTTTTTAAATTCATATTAAAAAAAAAGGTAAGGAAGACAAACAAAAAAATCTAACAAAGATTATCTGTAATTATTTGTACGTTTTAATGCGATAAAAAGTAATCGGCAGGCAAATCCTTAAGAACCTGCACTACTATTAGTGAATATTCCAAAACAGTCGTCTCTTCTCCGTTGCCAAACTTTGTATAATAGGAATACGTGACTTAATCATATTAAGCCAATACTGAGACCCCCTTTGAATACCTACACATTCCAATGAGGTTGAATGAACCATTGTTGTTGGTACATGTTTTCGACTCAATTATTGGTGATTTGAATTTTAAACAAACGCAAATAAATAATTAAAATTAGAGTTATTAATTTAGCGTCATTTAATAAAATAATATTGAAAATGAATGTGTAGCAATTTATCAATTAATATTTCATAATAAAATATTAAATTAAA